CTGTGAAGGTTCTCAGTCATCCAGGTCATCGTAGTCTGTTAGACCTCTGCCTTACTACAACATACTTCAAATACAACGAAGGCTTCTACAGACAAAAACATGGCTGTGCCATGGGCTCCCCCGTTGTAGCCAACCTTTACATGGAGGAAGTGGAAAGGAAGGCTCTTGGCTCTTTCAAAGGAAGAGTACCCAGCCACTGGTACAGATATGTAGACCACACCTTAATTAATTACTTAATTAACACCATTAATATTTTGTAGTTGAATGTTTAAAATCCTGCAGCCACAATAAATCCAAGTTATAAAATCAAACAAATATATAAAATAAGTAAGTAAAAAATAGTCTATATTAAGCTAAATACACTAATTTAAACATAATAACTATAATACGTTGCCAGAAGGTGAAACTTTCATCTTTTAAAATGAGAAGATTTGCTGTTTTTCTTCCTCTCAGAGAAACTGAATTCTTTTCATTCTTGGACTAAATATATATATTTTCACCTAAATGATTAATCAACTAATCATAACGAGATATTTATAACATTTTCCTTCCTTAATTTTACAACCACATCTGTTTGCAGGGGTCTTGTTTGCTCTGAAGATCGTCAATAACCACTTCAACCCCGGTGGTGTGACGTACGTTATGAATATTCGGGTGTCCAATCAGTTTGCTAGCTGGGTGGAGCTGGTGCTCATCTATCTAATCGCTCCTGGGTGAGAGACTGCTCCAGTCCAAGATGATCACTGAGAAAACAAAATCGATTTTGAAGCGTAGATTTGAAGGCAGCATCTTTTTTTTATCTAAAACTGAGCAGATATTTTATCATCGTGGTCTTTTTCCCTGCTGCTCTCTTTCAGGACCTCTCTGGTTGCCCACCTGGCAGGTGTCCTGGTGGGTCAGCTCTACACTGTGGGTCCACTGAAGACCATCATGGAGGCATGTGCAGGTCTGAATGCTGCTTTTTCAGTTTGTGTAGCGAATGAATTCTTCATTCTGCAAACAAATAAAACAAAATGATAAAATTGTGTTTTTTACACAGTCATGATCAGCAAACATCACATTAGCAGTTACAGCATGTTGTATTTGTTAACTGTGTGAGCGTGTGTGAAAGAAATCTTTAATACTTATATATGAACCTGAAAATGCTCTTTTCTCTCTTTCCGATCAGATATGATATCTTCAGATGGAGTTACTTCACGCCAGCGTTCATACTACAGCTTTTCAGGTACAACAGCAATGTTATAGAAAACATAAAGGATCCACTGTTTTATAGAATATGCAATAATCCAGTGAGAAAGACTGTTCAGTTTTCTGGTACAGCTTTTAAAACCTGGGTGCCCACTTTCTGAAAGACGAACCACTTTAGGATCCATGATGAGGTTGCCTCAATTTATCTTCAACACTTTATTATTGGAGATAAATTATCTGAATTTCAGGAGTGGGACCATGCCTCCAAACACACCCCTTCCAGGTCTTAAATATATATGACAAGCTGTTCGCTCTTGTTTTCGTACCCAACCTCCCCCTTTTTCAGTTCTTTCACTTCTTCACTTCTCATTAGTACACAAGGATCTGCCGGGCCCTGGAGCCACCGCATGTGCCCATGAAGGCCTTCCACAAACCGCAGCTCAATTCTTGATCAAGCCATTCGCCTTTATCTACCTAAAAACGCTGCCAAACCTAAGATTAGTGAATGTGCACCTTGCAGTCTTGGACCCTTTTTGCCTTCACAGCAGTCTGAAGAATTAAGGTCACATATTTATTGACTTATTTATTGATTTATTTCTCCTGTTTTGGCTTCCCTTCATTGGCTTCCTGTTAAATCCAGAATTGAATTCAAAATCCTGCTCCTCACATACAAGGTCTTAAATAATCAGGCCCCATCTTATCATAATGACCTTGTAGTACCATATCACCCTATTAGAGCACTTCACTCTCGCTCTGCAGGCCTACTTGTTGTTCCTAGAGTATTTAAAAGTAGAATGTGAGGCAGAGCCTTCAGTTTTCAGGCCCCTCTTCTGTGGAACCAGCTTCCAGTTTGGATTCAGGAGACAGACACTCTCTCTACTTTCAAGATTAGGCTTAAAACTTTCCTTTTTGCTAAAGCATATAGTTAGGGCTGGACCAGGTGACCCTGAATCCTCCCTTAGTTATGCTGCAATAGACATAGGCTGCCGGGGGATTCCCATGATGCATTGAGTTTTTCCTTTCCAGTCACCTTTCTCACTCACTATGTATTAACAGACCTCTCTGCATTAAATCATATCTGTTATTAACCTCTGTCTCTCTTCCACAGCATGTCTTTATCCTGTCTTCCTTCTCTCACCCCAACCGGTCGCAGCAGATGGCCCCGCCCCTCCCTGAGCCTGGTTCTGCTGGAGGTTTCTTCCTGTTAAAAGGGAGTTTTTCCTTCCCACTGTCGCCAAAGTGCTGCTCATAGGGGGTCATATGATTGTTGGGTTTTTCTCTGTATCTATGAAGCGCCTCAAGGCGACTTATGTTGTGATTTGGCGCTATATAAATAAAATTGAATTGAATTGAATTGAATTGAATAAACATCAGTGATGTGACTCTCATGTTGTAGATCTGGTGACTGTGGAGGCCATTCGAGTAAAACTAGCAGTTATGTTCAGGAGACCAGTTTGAGATGATTTGAGTGGATAGAGTTTATAGACACTCAGTACTTTTATTTTTATTAACTTTCTGTGTTGTAACCTTTTCATTTTTGCCCAACGTTGCAAGATTTAAAAATTAAACTCAAGTTAGAAACTTTAATATTTTAGTGCACATGTGTGCCTGCAGGCTACAGCGGGACCAGACGAGAATACTTTGAAGAGCCTCGACCTGCGGAGGATCACACGTCTGATTATTCTGAGAGCTACATCTCAGGACTGACGGAGGAGGAGCAGATAGAGCTGGCCATCAGAAACAGTCTGAAACATCGAGGCAAGAGGCAGAAGTGACAGTTTGCTTTCACTGCTAAAATTAATACTTAATTTTATAAAATAAATTAGATACATTTGAGCCAAATTATATTTAAAAATTAAACATTTAGCCACAACTTAATTTTTCAGAACAAACCAGGCGAAGAGAAACTGAACATCACCCAGGAGACTCTTGAGGATCTCAGGAGGAGGCGGCTGAGGAGGTTTGAGCAGGAAGTTACCAACCAGAGAAGAAGATTGTAATGACGGATTTTTATTTTCCATTTTTGTTTTTTTCTCATTTTCACTGGTTTAACTGGGAAGATGCCTCCCATCACTCTCCCTTGTTGCTGCGGGTCACATAAGAGA